AAAAAGTAAACAAACCTCATAAGTATAAAAAATTCTGACACTTGGGAATTTTGAGAAGTGAAAATCATCAGCATTTTCGTTAAAAAAGATCAAAAATTATTTATAATAAATTATTTCTAACAATTTTAAATTATTCAGTGACACGTATGTATTTTTAAATTGACGGAGAGGTACACTTCCAAGCTTTTACCAAAACATTTTAATATTTTAATTTCAAGTTAATATTAAAAAATAACGGACAATTACCACTTAGAGATTAAAAGATTTTCCACTTTAAGCAAAAGCAGAAAGTTAGAGAAATATTATTTTCTTAGAAAGCTTTTTGGCCTCTCGTTTCTACAATTCGCAAGGAAAAAAATGTGCCTTTTAAAACTACTTCATGTTTGTTAACAATTCGTTTGAGATAATAAGTATTTATGATTTTGTTCAAGTTTGCATATTTTTTTCACTTACTTATAGTACTAACCGAAGTGGAAAACTACCTCATAAGTACACTTTCGCATTGCTTAGCAACCACTTAGTACAAATAATACGAACACTACAATGAAGTTACTACACAACTAAGTTTATCTATTTACTAATAGTTTTTAATTAAAGATGATCGATAATAAGCATATCCTGATTTTTAATGCATCCAAGAACGAAGTTTTCAAATTAAACGAAAATTATAAAATACTTCAGAGAAAACTAAAAACGTTTTGGAAATTACAAATGTAAGTAACTTTTTATCTACGACAGTTATAGGTACTCAATACTCTTTGCTATATCGTCTACAAAATTGCAGCAACAAAGAAGAAGTTACAGAAACGCTTTTAAAAAATTGTAATTTGTTAATTTTACCGGCTCCCCAGGCGGCATTTAACGAAAATGAAATTGAATCCATGAAAAAATATCTAAACAACGGAGGAAATATACTGGTGTTGTTATCTGAGACTAATGATAATGATAAGAGTAATATAAATATTCTTCTTGAAGAATACGGAATTGTGCCAAATATGGGTAAAAAATTATTATGAAAAAGTACTGGTACCGACCTTTTTTTTTTTTAGATTATGTTATAAGGACACATTACTACAAATATTTTCACCCAAAGGAATGTTATATTTCGGACAGTAGCATAAATTCAGCGTTAAACAAAGATAAATTGGAAATTAGTCTGGTTTATCCTTACGGTTGTACTTTAGACGTTAGCAAGCCGTCCGTTGTTGCATTTACAAGTGGAGTAGTATCCTTTCCTGTTGATCGGCCCCTAGGGGCATTATATTATGGGCAAAGTACAGGTAAACGTTCTTTTTAATTGATTTAATTGTCGCATCAGTTCTCCATGTAATAGTAATAATATTCTATTATTTTTTCTAACTATAATCTACTTAATTGTTTCAGTTTTTTGGAAATAGAAATCTTACTAGTATAAAACGTATAATTTTATGATTTAAGCAATTTTTCAAAATTAATTACTATTACTTTTGTCGTAGTTCAGTTTTACTTTCAACTATATAACACTTTATTTTCTAACTCGGTTTCGTATAATTGTTAATAATCAATAAATTTATAATGTTTACAGGTTGATTTTATCTAAGCGCCTTAATCTTTTGCAAAAATTTACATTAGGGTGTTGTTAACAAAATCAGGGTAGCCTTACATATAAGGCTTTTTAGGGCACCGAAAATTTCCGAAAAGTAACAAAGAATCTGCTAATATTTCTTGGGAAAAACAAAAGACATTTTTGGACAAATGCTTCGAGAAAATAAAGCAGAAAACTGAAGCCTTAACACATGCAGTGAATGCGCTTAATGAGAGGGAAAACGATTCTAAATTGTGCGAAATGTCTAAAATAAGACCATCTAGCGCCATACCCAATTTTAAATACACGCAAGGAAATACTACTATTCAAAAACATATTAGAAAAGGTTGCAATTTACAAATAAAATACCCATAATCTATAAATCTTGGTTCAATTTAATATTTCGTTCTATAACTTAAACTATTGCGAAATCGACTGCACCAGTATTACCTAGTTTATCTATTAAAAAAATACGAAAGTTATGTTCAATTTTTTAAAATTATATTTCGTTATTTTGAAGGAGGGAAGTTAGTTGCAATTGGATCAGGGCACATGTTTTCGGACAAATACATCGATCAAGAACAGAACGAGAAATTTCGAGAAATGATTTTCGACTTCTTTACTTCTGATGACGTTAAAGAACTGATTTCAGAGTACGATGAAATAGATGTATGTAACATATATATAAATAATTAATGAGAATGTGTTCGGTACGTATTTACCGATTTAAAATTTTCTGAATATTGCTTAGGAAAAATTGGAATTCTTTGAATAATCGTACACCATTGTAATTAACTTTTACTGACCGAATTTTATTTTGCAGAAAGGGATTATTGTATTAATTATTCCAGGTTTGGGATTATCACATTGTTCCTGACACACCCGCATTAGCTGAACAACCAAAGCTTACTTTGACCGATGGCGTAGGTCAAAACATCCCCGCCGATTACTCAAAGTTGTTTGACTACAAAATGCATTCAATCAGCACATGTCTAGGTAAGCATTTACTCAAACCGATAACACTATAAATGTTGCTACGGGGATTTTTTTGCATTTAACAAGGTTTTAATTTTAGTTACAGAAGCAATAAAGCTCTATGAAAATCTGGAAGTTAAACATGAACCCCTCAAGCTTATTACACCAAGCTTTGAGGCTCCATTGCCTCCATTGCAACCTGCAGTGAGTATAATTATTAAATTACATATTTAATTTAATTTATCACGATTCTGTGTTAATAATACAAACCAACACAAAAAATAATTGTTTTACGATTTGTTGGATTATATTTAACAGCTCATAGCAGAAGCAAAACCATGTCAGTGTGGAACTGAAAAATATAGCGAAGAAAGTACAACAAGAAACCGGTTAAAGTTTTCCAATTTAGTTTAAAAAGTGAAATACTTTTTGACCGATTTTAAAGAAAATTAATTGTTAGAAATAAAGAATATTTTTCCTTTTCGATTTTTCTGATCGTCGGTAATTTTAATTAACGGATGGCCGTTCGCTCAACTTGCGTTGAGGAGCTCTCGACTATAAAAACGATCGACTTTTTACTTCGAATACTTGAGCAAATAAATTGTACTTTGCAGGTGTTTCCACCCACATTTCGAGAACTATCGCCACCCCCGTTAGAACTTTTCGACTTGGACGAGGCGTTCAGTTCGGTGTTTTCGAGACTGGCTCAGTTCACTAACAAATTCATAATGTCGGGATCAACAAGCGATTTCTCCGAAAAAGAACTCGAATTTTATATTCAGGAATGTTCCAAGATCGTTAAACTTGATGGAGGAGTTGTTGATGCCAAAGAAATTTTGTATACTGTAGGTGTGCAAATAGCTCATTTTAAAAGTATTGACACAATCAAATAATATAATTATATTAATTATAGATACAATTCTGTGTTTTATTATTATCGATTATGGAGAAAAATCAATATTTACGTTGGTTTTTTAACACGCGTCATCTCCAAAAATCTTCACTAATAAAAAACTAGTATCCAGAAATTCATATTCGTATCTAAATTATTACATACTGTGTTAGTAAATCAATTAGAAACCGTTTAAATAGTGAAATCAATAATTATAATCAATGATAATCGAGTCAAGTCGAGAAGTCAAGAGTCGCAAGTCGAATTCAAGATCACGAAGATACGGGGTGATAAGAAGGCTTACCGTCTTCACTCACCCTGTGATAGTTCCCTGCCGTTTCTACGTTCCCTAATTATCTAGCAAGACAGGCTAAGATAATTATTATATTACTGGGTTATTTCTTAGCCTACCTTGCTAGATAATTGGGGAACATAGAAATGGCAGGAAACTGTCACAGGGTGAGTGAAGACGGTAAGCCGTTTTACCACCCCCATCTTCGTGATCTTGAATTCGACTCCCAATTCTCGACATCTTGATTTGATTCGACTATCATTGATTATAATTATTGATTTCACTATTTAAACGGTTGCTACTACAGTACGTAAGTAGATGTTAGCTTGCAGTTATAAATATATAATTTAGATGTACCAACTTTGTACCACAGTGACCTGAATATGAATTTATGGATACTTACTATGTAACAGTATGTACCTACATAAATGAACTTTTATTTGTGAAAAATACCATTTGCCCATAAAACTGATCCCTAGTTTTATCGCAGGAATACATAACTGAGAAAATTTAAATTCATAACTATATTTTTATATAAAAACCGCAAAATAACAGATCCTTCTGTATTTTTGGTTTATAAAATCAGTAATCTTTCGGATATAAAACCTTATTTTACTACGTTTACATCACTGCCTTAAAATCCAGCATAAATATTTTTAGTACAAGATTTTTACTCACCCTTTGAAGTCTAAACTAGTGCACTATCCGACCCTGGATATGATCAAACTAATTCACAATCTGAAAAAGAAAACAAGAATTTATATACGTACAGTACTACAAAACTTATTTGTATTTATTTCTAAATAGATCTGTAATATTAATTTGAGGTTAAGGATTGCCATTTATTTCTACACGTGGCTGTACAGTGAATTATTATACAATTCTTCCGTTAATTTTCTGAATTATTAATAAAATATACAAATTACTCCTTACCACTTACTATTCTAGAAATCAAGCAATGCGGAATTACAACTTTTGCACAATAAATTGGGAAAATCACGAACGCGATTACGCCACTATTCGACTCGGAGTGGTATTATACCAATAACTACGTGTAAAAAGCATCTAGACAAACGGCACGGCCAACTTTATAAAAAAACACAGACAACATAACAAAACAGACGATGCTTGCGATCTTTACAAAAAAAGAAGGCTAGATATTACTCGTTTTTGTTTCTATTGAAAAATATATTGAAATAGATAAATAAGTAAAACCATGTAGTATACTGCAATATTAGTACTCTAATGAAAACAACATTAATAAACCGTTAATAATATATTTTCAGATGTACTTTAACTAGTCTGTTTAGTACAATAATATAATCATTGGGATTTAATAAAATATACGATTGAAACGGAAAATTTGCTGAAAACGTTAATTTAACATTTCGTAACGTTTTCTTAATGGGATTCTTCCTTTTATTAGTTAAAATTTAAAAGCTAATGAAAAATTTTCATGTTATTATAAAATAGTACTAATTATCATAAAAGCTATTTGACAATATGAGAAATTTTCAAAAACGAATACATTTTTTTTAGCTTGTACTTAAAAGAATACACAAAGAAAGAAAGGAAAACCTAATAAATACAATAAATTCTCCATTTATAATGCTTAAAGGTAATCGTACACTACAAAATATAATGTGTAATTCATTTTATTAAGATTCTTACAGAAATCAAACTTCTCAACAATTTTGTATTGGTTATCGTCACGTATTGTGTTATGGTGCCCATTAAATATAAAGAAATAGCAAATGAATAGCGATCTGTCCCAAAAATGAAGTACATACAGTTGTGCAAAGATTTACCAACATTCTTAGGCATTTTAATTTTTTATTCAATACTTTATTATAAAAAACAATTGATTCTGATATGCCGCAACTTTATTCTCCTTAATCTCTCTTCACGACCACACCTCTGGCTAATAAAGGAATTTATAATTTCATGATAAATAAATAAAACTTGCTAAATTTAGAGGACTTTATTTCATTATAAAAATAAAGATTCAGATGGTGATACGTACGCACAGAATATCGGATACCTGATGTTGTAACTGCATGTTCTACGGATTCACGGTTGGATAGGTATCTCGACAAATCGGGATAATATTAGTAGGGAAAGGGAACAACGCCGTCGACGAAGACGTGCGGGGGCGATCTCGATAAAGTTTATGGAGAGAAGTTCTCATTAACATCGGGAGCGAGTCTCGCGAACGAAGCGAACGTGGAAGAACAAAGTCGGGTAGGAGGATGCCAGGATGAGAAACCATGACGAGAGAGAAAGGATTATTGTCAACAAGACACGCGGCAAACTATCGCCTTGAATTTGTGCTTTGCTTCCCGGTTACAAATACGTATGTACATGTATATATGTGAATTCGATAACAGTTCACTCGTTTACTCGACTAGGGCCTTTTGATACACATTTATTTAAATATTCCGTCAGTTAAATCAAAAAGTAAAGTTTTAAAATGGACTACATGCATTGTAGAAGGAACGCACCAAGAAAAGACAATAATGTCAAAACGACAGACAGACAGCGTCGCTATAATAAGAGGGTTCTGTACAAAACTTTTTGGTAAGAAACGTTTAAAGTAACTGTCCCGTTTAAAAGCAGATACATATTAATAGTTACGAAAATAGAAAAAGCGGAAAAAACAACAAACCCATAAAAGTTATGAAGTTATGCGCAACGTCGGATGTAACAATCAGGGTCCATGGGCACAAATAAGGTGGGGCCCGTCTGTTACACTGCTAGTTATTTAAAAAAATTATATAAAATATGTCTTCAAAAATTTTATTGATTCTTAGGTATTGTTTACTCAATAAACCTGTAAACCAGGGGCGTTGGCAGAAAAGTGGCTATTTATCTAAAAGCCTTTTAAAACGTTAGCACTTTTTCAGAGTTTGCCTACATGACGTGAAAGCGATTCCATTTACATGATTGGTTTGGGAATAACTCAAGCAACCCCTCCAAAAAATATAACATATATTTATAATATCAACAAAAACAACATAAGATGCAGAATTACTCACTAAGAACTCAATTGCGAATGTAGTTTTGTTTCTGAACTGGTTAATTGAAAATACTAGCTACATTAACGGCAGATTAGGAACTATTATTTTAATATTTTAACTAAATATTTAAAAGAATAGACTAAATAAAGTTGTTTGAGAGCACTGCTCCGAATACATGCAAAATGTAGAAACAGCGGAAAAGAAAAGGTAACAAACGTTTAAGATGTGGGGCTACAGGTGGATGATGAAAATAATGTGGATAGAAAATGTTAAGAATGGAAGAGGCGTTGGAAAGGTTGTTATGAAAGTCAGTAAGGAAAAGGAGATTTTAGACATTATTATAGGGCACCCTCTGCGATATGAAGAGCTAGTGAGGGACATATAAGAAGCAGGAACAGGAGTAAAGAGGGGCTTAGATAGACCTAGATTAGATTACCGTTTACAAATAGTTAGGAATGTGCCAATAAGGAACATGTTAGAAGAAGGAACAGGATTAAAGATGGGCTTAGATAGACCCAATTAGATTACCGTTCACAAGTAATAAGGAATGTTCTAGTTTTAGAAAAGCGTAAATAAATGTTCTGGGTGGAAGAGTGTTCAATCGGTCTTCGAAATGACTACCCCCATGACGATGAAAGTTGACTGAGGAATGATTTGTTAAATTAAATTAGGTGGAGGCACCAGGATTTCAGCTGCTTTCCTAATAAATTCGAATCTACAATCTATATTTCTAATGACTGCAAGACGGTCTGATATTATCATAAACAACAACAAGAAATACTGTGGCAAACTATCTTTAAGGTTTTTGGCCGTAGTGTGTTGCAAATGCTCGTTAACAGAAATGACCTTACCCCAAGTAGTAATCGAGAACATATCTACTACAGATTTAATATTAAACACTAACTGTGAAAGAATAAGTCCAGTTGTAAATTGTTTTATAGTATTTCATCTTTTAACAGCTTTGTTCCGGATATCGATATTCCTAGATTTTAAGTAATGTGTTTTCGGACATCAGATGGAAGCTGCCTTAGACTTTTGTCCTTTTTATTGGTACATCCTGAATTTCCGATCTCTCCCCGTCTTACGAATTAAAATTAACGCTGCACATCGTCACGATTCCAAATTAATTAATCACGTTGCCGTCGACTTTCGATGGTGTTTCAGAGTTTCGACCCTTTTCCTTTCGATGGTAAATAAAGAAGTAGCATTAGCAATGTCCCAAGGTGGGTAGGATTTCGTCGGTATCTTCTTGCGTTCCCTCTTTCATCATCCTTTCCCGTCTATCTTGTTCTTCTACTGTACGTTTTTCGGCCCGGAATCATTGCTGGCGGCGGTACGGAGCCGTCAGAGGCGTCGTCACCACCACCGTGCCGTCGGAGTCGTCGTTAGAATAGCGGCGTCGAGGGGATGATGTTGACGCCGGTGACGCGGCACGTGATGCTATGGTACATCCGCCGCTTGCGATTCCGGCGTATTCGTAGTCGTGCAGAGCATTAAAGGTTCCCGGACCCGAAAAGCGATTAGCGGCAGTCTCGCCTCGAAAACGACGGCAGGCAGGCAGGTCGGGTTTCGTCCCTCATCCTCCCACCTTCCTCACTCTCTCTCTCGCTCCTTCGCGGCCGAGTTTTACGTCACAAGCGAATACCGATGACGATGGTAAATTCAACCGAATGCGAATCCTTATTCAATCAACAAGCATCAGCATTACGGTTTCA